AATAATAATGTTTGGTCATATGATATATAGTGGACCTGTAGTTCTCAATTTACCAGGATCAATGTTCTATGGATGAGAAATCTCATTTTATATTCGGTCTGAAGTCCCATTAATCAAGATATTGTGTGTGTGGATGCCAACACTTGAGTTTCAATGATTTTGAGATTGAATTCATGTTATAGCTTAAAGTTTTGTTAATGAGGCAATTGATTAGAAAATTGGATGTCTTTGATATGATTTGAATTGTGAGTCGTGAAGGACATTAGTGAAAAAATACGCACGCACAACATGCATCTTAAATATGAACCTTTTTATATTTACAATAATTAGATAAAGACATTACGTTTTAGTAATAGTTATTGTATTGGGAATTATTCTTGTTAAGTGAATTAAGAATTGAATGAATAACTGCAATGGTAGGATAAGCAGTAAATTGTAAGCATAGTGAAAAATATAGAAAATAGATGAGTGTGTCTAGTTACAACCTTGGTGACATGATTATATTATACATGAACTAGGCCTTAACTATGTGCAGTAAATTGTAAGCATAGTGCAAAATATAGAAACTAGATGTGATTGTGTCTAATTACAACCTATCGTGGTGACATGATTATATTATTATAAAAGAACAATGCTTAACTATCATGGTGTAGAGTATATTATTTAATGTCATGGTTGAACAAGTTTTTTGCACCATGTAAAAATTTCATTATAGTTTTGGTGGGTGCCTCCCGTTGAGGATACAACGTGAACAATTCCATATGCGTTTTCAAATGATTTCGTTATTAGTATATAAAATAGCTTCAAGTGAGATATCATTATACTACACTTCAACCTTTTCCGCAAAAAGGAGCGAATAAGGATAACATTATGCAATGCTCAAACGTATTTGCAATTAGTCATGTAAATCATAACCGATCTATTTATTAATTTGAAGAAAACATATATTGTTCTATGAATAAAGATGTTGGAGGCTTTAAAGCACGCAACAAGATTTAGAAATGATACGTTTAAATCTTTTAACCGGTGAACCCCTGAATTGTTTGTATAGTAATTTTAGATTGAATCCTATGAGGATAAAAATCATGTTTCATTTAAGTTTTTATGGAACAATATTTGAGAATACACAATTATTGAATGATTTTATATGATTTTATATAACATGTCTCACCGTTAAAAAAAACATATCTCACAATGATGACCTACGCACATTTACTTCTACATATTAGCTCTTGAAGAGTTATGTGGCTAACGTCCATCAAACCTGCTCTAATAACTTTGGAAGATTATACAATAAGAATTTTCATCACCTCAAATTTTATAGATTTGGTATATATGTGTCTGAACATATTGAGCTATTATTTTTAAGTGAAACGGTTAATCCGGCCCGAAGACCTAGCGTTATTCTTTTTCCTCAATCAAGTTTTGTCCCAACGGATTTTCTTAATTGACCAAAGGTTTTAACAAGGTATTTTGTGGGTTTCAAAGAATAAGAAGAATACATAAGATTTGAAGTCTGTTATCCCGTCGAGCAGTGACTATAGCATTAATTCAGAAAATAGTAACCTAAAAGTCTTAATTGGTCTTTGTGAGGTGGAATAATTAATTAATCTAGAAGACCAAATGCAATTGTACTCTTTCATTAGCCAAGTTTCGTCACATAGGGTTTTCTTGATCAAAGGTTTTAATGACACGGTATATGATTTTCATATAACAAATCATGATGCATAAGATTTGGAACATTATTGTTCTCCAGAAGAGTGAGTTTAAAAGTAATCCAGAAGACTATACACTTTTCTTTTAGTAAGTTTTTTCTCACGTGGTTTTCTTAATTAAAGGCTTTTAATGTGGTGGTGAATAACACATCATTTTACATATATTATATACTCTTTTCCTTGATTGAGTTTTCCCCAATGGGTTTTTCGAACAAGATTTTTAATGAGGCATATCAATAGTAAAATACCTCATTCGAGAAGTTAGTAATCAAATTGGATTAAATTAGATTCAACAAGAAGACCTGAATTGATGCAGTCAACAGGGGGAGTGTATGCGCTACACTCCTTTTTCTCCTGACTAAGGTTTTATCCCACTTGATTCTCCTCGGCATGGTTTTTAAAGAGGCAGCATTTCCAAGTATATCAAGAAAACATTGTATAGTATCATATTTTGCGTGAAATGTCATCTTTTCTTTAATAATGTGCATCCAAGGGATAACGTTATGTACAATGTGGATTTCCATTACCTCCCGGCTCATATGTAATTAAGGTCCAACCCATAATCATGTATGGCCAAAATCGGTGGGGTAAATGTTGGGGAACATTTACCAGATTTCATTAATCAGAATAAAAGTTACAAAAGAGAGGGGGATTAGATCAAAACCTCTCCAGAAAAGGCATCCCTTCCCAAAATATATGATAAGAATTAAATGGAAGCAAAAACTACCCAATGAGGGGGGCTGTACCTCACCCATTAGGAGAAAATACACTAATATCTAAAATATGGATAACCAAGTAGATCAGCATAGTAATATTTACAGGGCTGTCACATTTTCTGGATCCGTTAACACATGGGTTGTCCAATTTCCTTCACGCAATATATGCCCAAAAGATATTCTGCTTCGGACCCAAGGTGTTTTCAAATGATGATCAGCATCATGAACTAAAGCATAGAGAGATTGTTTCCAAATGACCCAAGGTCAAAATCGAAAATTGCATGGGCTGACTACTGCTTCATAACAAAGAAGCATAGACAATTTAGTGAAACATTTTACTTAGGATTGCAACTTCCTCATTGCGCCCGTAAGCCAATTCAATCTCAATCATATCCAAGAATCGTCCCCTACTGTGTCCACCTGATATCCAACAGATCAGCGCACTGTCGCAGGGTCGCTCTGATATCACCAGTAACACCTCGGCCCTGCAGGATCTGAGGTAGTTACTCTTACACATCTTCCAGACCTCTGGTACTGTCCTCACAAGCCACCATGAGCCTTTACCCCGCACTTTGTCCTCACTCGTGTGCACCCTAAGAAACTTCCCAGGGAGTCACCCATCCCAAGACTACTCCCATGCAAGCACGCTTAACTTGGAGTTCTTAGGTGATGAGCTCCCTTAAAAGGAGATGCACCTATGTTGGTATGAGTAGTATTATTAATCCTTTTAAATTGATCTCAAGTGTTATAGGCTTGAGAGATGATTCAAAACACCCACTGCGAAATTGATAAAGTGAAGAAGGTTTGTGTCCAAACACTAAGAGGTGAGTTTGAATGTCTTCATATGAAAGAATATGAGTCTATATCTAAATATTTTTCTCGAGTACAAACAATTGTAAATGAGCTTAGAAGAAACGGAGAAAACTTGGTTGATACTCGAGTAATAGACAAAATTCTTCACTCTCTAACTCTGAGTGTTGAATATATAGTAATAGCCATTGAGGAATCAAAAGATACATAAACTGTGACTATTGATCAACTCCATGGCTCACTACTAGCTCATGAAGTAAGAATGAAAAAGAAAAAGTTGCAAGAAGCATTAGATCAAGCTTTCTACACCAAACTCTCTTTCAAAGAAAGAGAAAGGAGAATTCCTAATGGAAATCAACGAGGACATGATTGAGGAAGCAGAAGAATTGAAAGAGGTGAAAATCACCAACAAAATGAAGACCGAAGGGGCACAAATTACAAGGCAGCAAGAGGTTGTGGAAGAGGTGCTTACCAAAGGTATGAAAAATCTCAAGTTAAGTGTTACAATTATAAAAAGTATGGCCATTATGCTTTTGAATGTCGAAAGACTAACCATGTGCAAGAAAAAGCTCATCTTGTAAAATATGGGGTTCATCTTACTAGCTCACGAGTTAAAAGAAGAACAAAATAACAGCTTGAGGGTTCTTGATACATGGGAAAGAAACCATATGACCGGTAACAAGACAATGTTCACCTAACTCGAGCAAGCCAACAGAAAAATCATTATTGCAGATGAATCTAAGGCTTTAGTGGAAAGAAAAGGTAACATTCCAATTTGTTTAAAGGATGGAAGTCACCAATTTATTTTAATGTCTATTGTGTTCCAAATTTAACAAACCATATTCTATTTTTAGGGCAAATTCTAGACAAAATACACATTCGGCTCTAGATGGATGGGCTTCCCATCCCACACCTATTGGCCTATTGAGACAAAAGAGTCATCTTCAACCCTCATCGCCATTATTTTCGGCCAAACCATCACAAACACGAGAGAAAGCTCTGTAAAAACATTTTCACCTTGTTGGGAACAGGTCAAGCAAGGAGGGAGCTCAAAGAAAGAGTTTAAGTGGCTAAAAGTGTAGAAAAGCTTGAGAAATTAAGGTAACGGCTTCATTAACCTTTTCTTCTCCTTTTCTTGAATACCATATTGTTTGAGAATCATATGCGAAAACCCTAGGATTGTTCTACATGTTTAGAAATGTAGAATGAGGGGTTGGAAGACTGTTCTAGGTCCAAGAATGGACTTAGAATCCAAAGTGACCGATTCGCCAGAAAACAACTTTTCTAAGGTTATTTGTATTGATATGAGTTTTAGGATGTTAAAACCTTGTTTGGAACTTGTCTAAGGTGTTCTCAGTGCTTTTCATGAAGTTGAAAGAGTCTTTGGAGGTATCGTCGGAGTTCTTTAAACCTCGTCGGAGTTTCACCAGAGTTCTTGGGGTAGAACTTCTTAACGCTCATTCGAGGTGAGTTGACAACTTAATGTCTTATAACTTTTGGGTTAAGTTTGTTATTACCTAAGTAATTGTTACATGTGTTCATAATGATGTATAAAATTGTTTAAGCATGTCATTATTCAAGGAGATTGATGTGAGTTTTCTCGCACTTAAAAAGATTGTAATATAGGGGTGTAAGTGTCACGCCCCGGACCTACCGGACACGTCAACAACCCGCCGTACAGTACGAATAGTCAACCGCAGTCCAACTCATCCATACTATACTAGGCGTCTTGAATATCATTCACAATAGTACATCCATAAACAAACATAATGTAAAATAATCATTTAAATCAGCGGAAACGTTTAATACAAGTGTTTATGCCACACTTCGGCAACATGGGCGTACAAGCCCCAAATAATTATTCAAAATAATATCCATGAGCATTGATTTAATATTTTAAAAAATAGAGCGGAGGAAGCACGAACCACGTCTTCTCTCCCTGAGCTATCCGAAACAACGGACGATGGTAGCAAGCTTTACTCCCTACCTGAAACTGTGAGGTGGCCTCCCCCGTGAAGGGGAGGTCAGTACTTGGAAGCATTTGACAAGTACAATGACAACTATACTAAGTATAATCAATGTTTCAACTTCTAAGACCCTCAAAATAGAGTGATATCATAATATAATGATAGTTCTTCTTTAACCCTTATTATCTTCATAATAAGTTAATTAATTAGTTTGTCGGCACACGGCCCCTTTTTATATTTCATTTCAATCATCGTTCACACGACACCGCCCGTAGGTCTTATCATCCTTACGAGACTTGTCACCGCTCTCCGAGGCCTCACCGGGCTCTCGGGCCGGAGTCCAACATCCCGCCCCTGAACTCATACCCATCGTCCCGTAGGAAGGTAAGGTCCATTCGGGGTCCTATCTTATGTGTTACCGCTGTCGGGAGCCTCGTAAGGTCTCCGGTTCGGATTCCACCCTAACCCGTGATCACGATGTAAGTCCATGCTATCCAACCCCGCTCTCTAGAGTCGGGAAGGGCCATGGTCCTTACTACTTACCAATACTCTATCGGCTAATCCTTAAAGACTACCGAATACACCCGTAGGCCAATCCTATTCCTAGGATCAATTTATTATTCACTTTATCTTGGGTATCCCTTAAGGCCTACCCCTAGCATCACTTATCCACCTTAGTATCTCTTAAGACTACTTAAGGCTCAACAATTCACAATCCAAACCTTGGATCAATTCTAATATATTTCATTCCAAAACCCCGACTAGTATCATAATACTAGTCGGATAAATTCCAACAAAACTCATTTTCAATTCATAGTCATATATACAATTTCCAAACTAATTTTCCATTGAAAATATAGTTCATATCAATATACAAAATACGACCTTTAATCACTCATATATCCTTATATGAAGTTAAAGTTATATTTCAACACATTATTTATAATTAATCCCTTCATCAAGCCAATATGCTCATATTACATAATCATACACAATTTATCCTTAAATTCGTATATTATGCTCTTTTATTCATTGACAACAATATTTCCACTTAGGCATTATTAATCATTAATAATCCATGAAAATCACATTTAATTACTTTAGGTAATCCTACGAAATTAACCCAAAGATTATAAGCAACATAGTCAGCCATCCTCACCTTATGAAGTGCTGAAATAGTTGTCCTTGTTAAGCCCTTCGATCAAACCCCGTTCTAAACCGTTTGGAGATGAAAAATCTGGGCAGCAGACAAAAGCCGGGCGGCTTTCGTGAAAGGTGGGCGGCTTTCGTGGTCTGCAGCTACGAACAGCCTCCTATACTTGGCGGTTTCCGGCGATTTCAACTCCTATCGATTCCACGACTCTTCTAAGTTAAATACCACCACTTTATAACATTATTCTACACTTTTAAACGTGTAGAACTTCATGTTTAATCCACCATATGATTTCTTAAAAATCATACAAAAATAATACTAGTTAAAGGATAATACTTGTGTTCTTACCTCAAGAACAACTCTTTTCTCCTTGGATTTCTTTTGTTGATGTTGCCTTCAATCTTGGACCTTGTTGAAGACTTTCCCTTGAGCTCTCTCTTGCCTTGTATGGTTCGAATGGCTCTCAATGATAGGGGGAGGTATCTACTCTCAATCAAAGACCAAGAATAGTACTAAGAGAGGACATGGGGTGTATGGGTTTGTCTCTACCCATCCCTTCACTCTCTAGTCCGCACATGCCACTCAATTCATGTTCCTCCAGCTCCCCTTTAGTCAACTAGTGCATACAAAAACGTGGGGTGGCCTGTAACGCCCCTCTCAGGGTTAAAGGAAACGTTACACTAACTCACTACTTTTAAAAATAAATTGCAGTATAACGGCCGTCTATTGAAAATAACCCTGATAAAATCTCAAATATATCTAAAACAACTCCAAATAAAAACTTAATAAAATAGTTATCACCAATAAATGTGATAACCACCTGGATCCAGGAATTTATTCAAAATTCAAATCCACAATAAAATAAAGAAATAATAATCTCTTTATTATAACAACTGAAATACTGAAATAAAAATAATAAGTAGCTAGAAGCCACCAAGGTCGTTCCCGTTAACTCATTTTGGCACGCGTTCCACTCTCTCATCATCTTCCTAGGCCTTGGCCTTACCCTTAGTATCTGTACATGCGAAGAAAGAAACTGATAAGCTTTACGCTTAGTAAGTCACTATGGATCCACAAAAAAATATCTGAGAAGTCTAGGCCAATTTATCAATAGATAAATTTAGGCTATAAGCATGCACTAAACAAATAACTAACACATAACTTCTCAAACATATTCTGAGGGAGATCTCAAAAGGACAATATTTTTCTAAAATAATTTCTCAAAACTGATGGAGAGATCTCAAAATTTCATTCTCAAAACATCTCTGTAAAACCTTCTGAAAGAGATCTCAAAACAACTTTCTGTAAAACTTTCTGAAAGAGATCTCATAAACTTTCTATAAACTCTTTGTGGCTAATTTTAACTGTGGGCCCGTGATATGTACTCAAAGGCGCCAATCCGACAGCTTAGGGGAGCGACCCACTAAACATATCGGACTCTCTGAAACTGATAAGCTGATAACTGATAAACTGAGGGAACTTGTTCCCGAGTACATATCACCTGATCTTTCACTTTAAATATTAGTTCTTTTTATGGTGGTGACGTTTGATTAAAAACATCATTAAATCTGGAAATAAAAGTACTGACAAAATCTTGACTATGCCAGATAATAAACATAACTTAATACGGCAAATAAAATAACTTAACAAATAATTCACTAGGTTCACATAATAGCATATAGACTAAAATCATCTATTAAAAATCAACCAGACTTCTTTCTTTTATTTGGTTGAACAAACATGTACAGGTGGTAGTGAACTTACCTGTATAAGCTGAACTGAAAATACACAAATAAGTGTGGCACCCTGATAACGTCTTCCGGTAAGCTCTTCCTTGAAATCTTTATTTAGATATAACAAAATAATCACAAATCTGATGTCTTAAACCATTTTAAGCTAAAGAAATCTTTGACTACTGTCACGCAGCCGCTTAGAGTAAAATTTACTAGCTGGTTTGAGCACTACTTTAATCGGTTTAATATTGTCTTATACTCGAGTTAGCAGCAGCCACCCGTCAAAAAATTGCCTCAGAACATATGCTACATAATTTGGAGCAGACCCAACTCAAAGGAAAACAGAAAAGAGAAATTTTGGCTGCTGAATGGTTACTGAATGAGACCCATTGCTGAACATGACTAAAGCCTAACACTGAAATATCATCCCCACAGTAAGAATCGGAAAGCTCAGTTTTCTTAACAACAAATTTAAGCGTCTGGTGGAAATTTTAATGAACTAAAGATTAATTCTAACACCTTAACCAATCAACCCTTAAAAGTACAATTTTGAATTACAAAACTAAGGTGTCGGTTTTGATTCTAACAGAAAGCTAAAATCTCCTTACTCATAATATCACTTAATGGGATAATAGGTTGCTGCTAAAATTTTAAACTAATAAATAAATTTTGCAGATAATCGTATCTCTGTTTCAGCTACCTCTATTTAGACTAAAATAGCAAAATTATGTCACTGCCAATTTAAGAAAGAAATCAACATAGCTGATTGAAGATGTTATAATCTGGATGAAGTTGGGCGGAGGAATTTAAGAATCCAAGGAGAAAAGGAAGTTTTCTATAGATGGAGGAATTTTAACATATAGAGAAAAGAATTCCGCTTACCTTGTAAAAGATGCAGGGATGACTTTGGCCAACAATTGAAGAGTTGGAGAGAAATATTTTTCCAGAGTGACTCACTAAGAACGGCGGACTGCTACTTAAGGGAGAGAGAGCCGATTGAGGGTTTAAGAGTTTACGATCGGGATCTTCTGAGCACATCTCGTTAGGGATTTTTAAGTAAAATATTAATTCGGGCCAAGAAAACTGATTTGGGTTTCTAAGTCTTCTGACAAATACTTGTGACCCAACTGAATTATAATATTTCCCCCCTTTCATTAATATACTAAATAAATATTAAAATAGTATTTATTTCTTTGATTAAAATTATTATGAGCTTACCGGTCAACGTTACCTGCCAAGACAACACATGATCGAACAATAAATCACACTATTCATAGAAGAAACTTATTTAGCAGACTAAAATAATTAATAGTGATTAATATAACTAGCTCATAAAAATCGGGGTGCTACAACCCCTCCCACCTTATAAAAGTTTCGTCCTCGAAACTTAGAACAACTCAAAAGAATGACGCGTCAGATTATTTCTTTTCTATCTTCTCACATTGTTTTAGTGGAACCATACTAGCAATCATAGTGGCATTTCTTCTAACTACCAATCTGATCGAATTTCTCTTATTGGGGAGACATACTAACTTGAGATAAGACTACACAAAGATCTGCAAAAAAGTTTCTCCTATTAAGTGCTTATCTCATTATTAGTGTTTAAACTACAACACAAAATCCTAAACACGGAACATGTCATTTATATATGGATTGGTTTGCTGAGTTGCTCCATTTACTTATTAATGTGAGGGCGAAAGATAATACTAAATCTTAACCTGTCTTAAAAAAACATATGTCAAACATACCACTCCATATATTGACCAAAACAAAGATTAAGAAAACTCTTAGTATTTAAATCCACTTCTCCTGATTTGTCATAGCACTACAACACAAAATCACATGCTCACAACATAGTCTTTATAAACGAATTACTTTGACATGTTTGCTTATTATAATGAGAAAGAAAAAAAAAAACTATATTTTAACCTTGTTATAAAAAGCTTACCCCCTTACTACTAAAAATGAAATCCATAATCATATTCTACTGATATGGTTACATAGGCCAAACTTGTCTTTTCAAAAGAAGCAAAAAAAAAACCATTGAATAGAACTCTTTCTAAAATTCGTCCTTGATTGTTGAAATTCAAGCATTACAATATCTAACAGAATGTTTCATTTACTATCGGTTATAAGAGTTCATCCTCACAATTTGTTTACGGTGTGGGGCAGGATGAAGTTTTCACATTTACCATTTTATCGCTTCGGTTCAACAGATTGCTATCTCACAAATTGTTCACGATAGCAGTGCAATGAGACTCATATGTAAGCCTAAAAAAACTATAAGGATGGTTATACTCGGTAATGACCCTAACATAGTATTATATATTTATTGTTGGATCCTTGAGATATATTTTCTTCTTATGCATCAAAAGTACTCGGAGCTAGCACATCATTTATAATTTGAAGAAAGAAAAATAAATAATTCTTTTTCTATGTTAGACCTATACTATTTGTTGTCAATGTGGCTCTCCACATAAAAATATTTTGTAAAGCATAACAGGAAATCTTCATTTCCTTTAATAACCCTCCGTTATTATACCAGAAGAAATTCTTTTTAAAGTCTAAAATAGATTAAAATACTAAACTCTTTTTTTTAACCACTCAAGCATCTCAAAGTTATCTTTTCAATAAAAAAAAAACTTTCTCATGGTTCTGAATCTCTGGAACCAAAACTATAACTTCATTGATTAATACATAGTATTTCGAAGTAGTCAAGAGAGAAATGTGAATCTAGTTTATTATTAGAAATTTTCTTTTATCTTAAAATTTGATCTTGAAAAGAACAGTTATTCCTAATAAGATGAGCATCAGTCTCCTTCAAACCTTGAACACAATTTATTAATTGAAGCTAAGTCTTGATATACAGAAAAAAAAAATCTTTGGTGGATAAGTCTATTGTGAATAAATTATATTATAAGTTTTGTAACTAAATCTTCTTGGACTCCCTCTAGAAAATCAGTAAGTGAGTTAACATTAAAATGTCAACATCGAAATAAATTATTTAATTTGCTTAGTTTCAAATTTTCATCTTTCTTAAACAAAAGACATCATAAATGTTCTGTTTAACAGAATTTTGACATTGTGAATCACATAAATGTCTGACACAAAATACTTGACTACATGCATTCTTTTTTTTTTTTTTACTTAATAATTCTATCTCTTTGCTTCCTTATTCAGCTATAGAAGAATTAAGGATAGTAATATGTTTTTCTTTTTAAATCCTTCATCTCTTCACTAATCAAAATGTGTTATATTCAAATAACTAGTTGGAAAAAAAATATCTATACTTCCTGTTCTAAAAATAACTTACTGCTGACGGTTGGTAAGCAGGTGACATTTTTTTTTTTTTGACTCACTTCAGTAACACAATTCCTTCTAAACCTTTATCTCCTAATTATTTCCTTTTGAAAATATTGCTCTCTTATAGTGGTAAAGTTTTTGTAGATTTCTAAACTAATAAAGCAACCAACCAGTAATACAAATTTTCTCATAAGAGTGAATAATATTTAACAGCCATATCATCTAACTCAAAACTTGGTTTATATTACTTTACAAAACTCTTTTAACTCTGCCCTTTCGATTTCAAATAGAAATAATAAATTTATCGAAGAATCTAATAAGCCGATCAAAGGATCTACACTAGTATCTTTCAAAAGAAAATCTAACATCATGGTTATGTCCTTACTGGCTTCCTATATTCTTAATTTGACAGACACTGATTTACTCGCTCAAAATCACATGGCACAACTTACTCAACTGTTGGGGTTGAAGTCCTTGAGTTGCTAATGACTCATAACAAACGAATAGCTTGTGGTGCCAAACTCTTTATACTCTTTATTTCCACCATTAAATCTTTTACTCAAAGAGCATACTAGTTCCCAACATGAGCTTACTGGGACACTCTCTACACATATTTATACAAAATAGCTTTAAGAGAGCTTGATGGTACCATACTCTTCATTCTATTGAAATGTTCACATTCTAGATCACAATGTATTGGAACACACTTCACAAATCTCTATATCGTAGTGTGCAGCAGGTTCTAAGACCCGTGATTTACCAGAGACTGGTTTGACCAAATCCTTCCACTCATCTCTACTAATCTAACTTCTAAGAACCAGATACTATTAAAAAAAACTTTGAATCACGTATATAGACTTTATTGGCCGATCATAGTAAGAAAATTTAAGTGATGGCACTCAATATATTTTGGTAACAAGAATGTGCAACACTGTTTAAATCTCAGTGCCAAAGGCTGGGAGTACTCGAAAATTTCTTTGCGACATTTTAAAACTCAAAATTTCTTCTGAAACATACCTTTGAGGAGATAGCTCGATACTATACTAATACATCATTAAAAAAACTACTTATTTGACTTTTAGTAAAATCATTGTCATTTGATTACTCATTAATCACTAAATGCATTTAATGATTAATCAACACACTCTAATACTGTAATACTTATTTTAAAATAAGCATTTACAACTTAAAGACAACATACTTTTGAATAACCTGATCATATTAAAGCGATATCCGACCATCAGTATCTCCTATTGGAACCATCAAATTGATGAGGGGCCCTCCCAGCAACTCAAGATTCCAAATATGAAATACCGACATTCAACACTCAAGAAAATCATGCAACTTATGATACGTTTGATAAAACATTTGAAACTACTATTTAAGAGCTTTTGAAACCGAAGGTGAGGTTTCAACATTTTACACAAAAACAATTTAAGATATAACTTATAACAATTTTTTTTTTACCACAAATATAATAAGATAATGTAATTAGCATGGGCGTTGAAAAAAAAAATCACTTAATAAATGAATAAAAAATACATAACAAACTGATTTGTATGCTTATGAAAATTCTTACTCATGTAAACTCAATTACATGTGATGCTTTAGTCCCTTTAGAAAAATATCAGACAAACTCTTTATTATTCTTCTTAATTTAAAAAAAATATATATCTAACATGTCTTAGGGAATAAATAAACTACAAGTCTACAAGCTATATAAAAAGATAGTTTCACTAGCACTGATTGTGACATAATTCAAGTACTTAATCATGAGAAAATAAAGACTATATGACACTATTTTTTAATTAACTCGAATTTTAATCATGAGTAACCTCTATGAGAAATATTTTCTATAAAAGATCAACATAGACTAAAGTGGAAAACTGCAAATACGTGATTTTGAGAGGTGTATGACTAGAACGATGGTGTTTTGTTTTTTTAGATAACAACCGTAAGTATTTCCTAAATGAAATAGAAGACCTAACTCAAGAATATAGGCGCTCGAATAAATTTTAATCTGAATAACTCGTAATAACACAAAGCTTTTACGAGTTGAGTACATATTACTCTTACTTGACTTTTATATGTAGCTCATACTAACAACGCTCAAACATATTTTCACATAGATAACTCTTAACATAAATAAGTACTTACTTGGAAGATGACGAGCACGTGTACGGTGACAAATGAAGTTACGGGACAACCTGGGCTCTGATACCAAACTTGTAACGCCCCTCTCAGGGTTAAAGGAAACGTTACACTAACTCACTACTTTTAAAAATAAATTGCAGTATAACGGCCGTCTATTGAAAATAACCCTGATAAAATCTCAAATATATCTAAAACAACTCCAAATAAAAACTTAATAAAATAGTTATCACCAATAAATGTGATAACCACCTGGATCCAGGAATTTATTCAAAATTCAAATCCACAATAAAATAAAGAAATAATAATCTCTTTATTATAACAACTGAAATACTGAAATAAAAATAATAAGTAGCTAGAAGCCACCAAGGTCGTTCCCGTTAACTCATTTTGGCACGCGTTCCACTCTCTCATCATCTTCCTAGGCCTTGGCCTTACCCTTAGTATCTGTACATGCGAAGAAAGAAACTGATAAGCTTTACGCTTAGTAAGTCACTATGGATCCACAAAAAAATATCTGAGAAGTCTAGGCCAATTTATCAATAGATAAATTTAGGCTATAAGCATGCACTAAACAAATAACTAACACATAACTTCTCAAACATATTCTGAGGGAGATCTCAAAAGGACAATATTTTTCTAAAATAATTTCTCAAAACTGATGGAGAGATCTCAAAATTTCATTCTCAAAACATCTCTGTAAAACCTTCTGAAAGAGATCTCAAAACAACTTTCTGTAAAACTTTCTGAAAGAGATCTCATAAACTTTCTATAAACTCTTTGTGGCTAATTTTAACTGTGGGCCCGTGATATGTACTCAAAGGCGCCAATCCGACAGCTTAGGGGAGCGACCCACTAAACATATCGGACTCTCTGAAACTGATAAGCTGATAACTGATAAACTGAGGGAACTTGTTCCCGAGTACATATCACCTGATCTTTCATTTTAAATATTAGTTCTTTTTATGGTGGTGACGTTTGATTAAAAACATCATTAAATCTGGAAATAAAAGTACTGACAAAATCTTGACTATGCCAGATAATAAACATAACTTAATACGGCAAATAAAATAACTTAGCAAATAATTCACTAGGTTCACATAATAGCATATAGACTAAAATCATCTATTAAAAATCAACCAGACTTCTTTCTTTTATTTGGTTGAACAAACATGTACAGGTGGTAGTGAACTTACCTGTATAAGCTGAACTGAAAATACACAAATAAGTGTGGCACCCTGATAACGTCTTCCGGTAAGCTCTTCCTTGAAATCTTTATTTAGATATAACAAAATAATCACAAATTTGATGTCTTAAACCATTTTAAGCTAAAGAAATCTTTGACTACTGTCACGCAGCCGCTTAGAGTAAAATTTACTAGCTGGTTTGAGCACTACTTTAATCGGTTTAATATTGTCTTATACTCGAGTTAGCAGCAGCCACCCGTCAAAAAATTGCCTCAGAACATATGCTACATAATTTGGAGCAGACCCAACTCAAAGGAAAACAGAAAAGAGAAATTTTGGCTGCTGAATGGTTACTGAATGAGACCCATTGCTGAACATGACTAAAGCCTAACACTGAAATATCATCCCCACAGTAAGAATCGGAAAGCTCAGTTTTCTTAACAACAAATTTAAGCGTCTGGTGGAAATTTTAATGAACTAAAGATTAATTCTAACACCTTAACCAATCAACCCTTAAAAGTACAATTTTGAATTACAAAACTAAGGTGTCGGTTTTGATTCTAACAGAAAGCTAAAATCTCCTTACTCATAATATCACTTAATGGGATAATAGGTTGCTGCTAAAATTTTAAACTAATAAATAAATTTTGCAGATAATCGTATCTCTGTTTCAGCTACCTCTATTTAGACTAAAATAGCAAAATTATGTCACTGCCAATTTAAGAAAGAAATCAACATAGCTGATTGAAGATGTTATAATCTGGATGAAGTTGGGCGGAGGAATTTAAGAATCCAAGGAGAAAAGGAAGTTTTCTATAGATGGAGGAATTTTAACATATAGAGAAAAGAATTCCGCTTACCTTGTAAAAGATGCAGGGATGACTTTGGCCAACAATTGAAGAGTTGGAGAGAAATATTTTTCCAGAGTGACTCACTAAGAACGGCGGACTGCTACTTAAGGGAGAGAGAGCCGATTGAGGGTTTAAGAGTTTACGATCGGGATCTTCTGAGCACATCTCGTTAGGGATTTTTAAGTAAAATATTAATTCGGGCCAAGAAAACTGATTTGGGTTTCTAAGGAGGTGTTTACTTCACCGCTAAAGTCACAGTTAGGTTAGTAAGACAGGTGAAGTAAACACGCACGCTGCTTAAAAAGCCGCTTACTAACCGAAAGAGGTGCTTAAAGTGCCGCTTATTAAGCATACCACCCCCCATGTATTAATTAAGCGACACTTTAAGCTTTTTCAGTTTCCGAATTTACCCCTTGCCCTTACCCTATTGTTACCCATGCCCCACCTACCTACCCGGCCCCCACCTCGACCCCAACCCCAACCCCACCCTACCCTTACCCCAACTACCCTACCCCTACCCGACCCCACCCCTACCCTACCCACACCCAGACCCCACCCTACCACCTACCCCACCCCTACCCTACCTATCCGACCCCACCCTACACGTACCCCACCTTACCCCTACTCTACCCTACCCTGACCCAACCCACCCTACCCTACCCTACCCTACCTACCCGACCCCACCCCCACCCTACCCTAACCCTACCACATCCTACCCCTACCCGACCCCACCATACCACTGCCCTACCTACCCGACCCCCACCCCTACCCTACCTACCCGACCACACACCTACCCCTACCCTACCCTACCTACCCGACCCCACCCTACCCCTACCCTACCCTGACCCTACCCTTACCTCGCCTTAACCCCCACCCTACCACTACCCTACCTACCCAACCCCACCCCTACCCTACCTACCCAACCCCACCCCTACCTACCCGACCCACCCTACCACTACCCGTACCCTTACCCCACCTACCCCACCCCACCCTATACCCCCGACCCCATCCCTTACCCCACCCTATACCTAGGGTGGTGGGGTCGGGGTGGGGCCGATGTGATAGAGGCGCTAGGGGCAGGGTAGGTGCAGTGGGGTCGGGGGTAGGGTTGCAGCAGGGTGGGGTCGGGTAGGTAGAGCAGGGGTAGGGTGGGGTCGGGTAAGGTAGGGTAGGGTAGGGTAGGGGTAGGGGCGGGGTTGGGGTAAGGTGGGGTAAGGTGGGGTTGATGTGGTAGGGGCATATGGGGTCGGGGGTAGGGCCGCGGTAGTGTAGGGTGGGGTCGGGTAGTGGTAGGGTAGGTAGGGTGGGGTGGGTGGGGTCAGGGTAAGGTAGGGTGGGTAAGGGGTTAGGGTGTGGGTACACATATTATATTATATTATATACTTGTGTTCATGAATGTTTGTGTGTGTATATATGTATAAGGTTATTTTGGACATTTTAATGTTAAGCGGTGTTTTAAACCGTTTGAAGTAAACACTGTCTTACAACATTGTTTATTTTATGCGCCGCTTATTAACACGGGTCTTAATAAGCACCGTTTAATAACCGGCGAAGTAAACATGTCCTAAGTCTTCTGACAAATACTTGTGACCCAACTGAATTATAATATTTCCCCCCTTTCATTAATATACTAAATAAATATTAAAATAGTATTTATTTCTTCGATTAAAATTATTATGAGCTTACCGGTCAACGTTACCTGCCAAGACAACACATGATCGAACAATAAATCACATTATTCATAGAAGAAACTTATTTAGCAGACTAAAATAATTAATAGTGATTAATATAACTAGCTCATAAAAATCGGGGTGCTACATGGCCCCCACTCGCGTGGGAGGTCATCCCATTATGCCCCGGTGTGTACAACCGGCCCCGAAAGTTGTATTTCTCGGACTGTTTTAACTATATTTTATTTTATCGGGCCAAATAAAATATATCACGCGTTCCTCATAATCATGGGCCCTTAGAGAAGATGTATGTTCCCCAACATTAATTTAGGAGTCCCCGAAACTCATTTCGGGCCGTTATCCGATAAATTACCAATACCGGTAATTGGGCCTCGTTTGACCAACAGGTCAACTCCATTCCCTTTCCATGGCCCATCTAAATATTTGGGAGTCCATTTCCATTATTAGGGACCCGATAAATAATTTAATTAATCACGCATTAATTACATATACCAATTCCGTTACACGATTTTATTCGTTAGGAAATTTAAGTACATATCCAATTTCGAATCCAAGTACATCCGGGTGCGGTGTCACAAGTTCACCCCCCCTTAACGGGAATTTCGTCCCCGAAATTCACAAGTGTTCAATAAAAAGAAATGCATATTGTTCCTTCATCAAGGCCTCCGTTTCCCAAGTTTCTTCTTCAACTCGGTCACTTTTCCAAAGGATTTTAACCATTGGAACTTTCTTGCTTCTCAATTTCTTTACTTGCCTATCAAGTATCCTTACTGGTCGGACGGCATAGTTCAAATCCTCATGTATTTCCACGGGTGGTTTCTCTAACACGTGAGACGGATCCGGCACGTATTTCTTTAGCATAGACACGTGGAACACGTTATGTATCTTTTCCAATTCTGGAGTCAACTGCAATCGGTATGCTACGGCCCCAATTCTTTCAAGAATCACAAATGGCCCTATGTAGCGTGGGTTAAGTTTCCCTCGGCTTTGAAATCGGATGATTCCCTTCCAAGGTGAAACTTTCAAGAATACCTCATCTCCCACCTTAAACTCTAAGGCCCTCCGACGCTTATCGGCATAGCTCTTCCTGGGCCGCCTTAAGCCTTTCGCGAATCATCTTCACTTTAGACTTGGTGATCTCCACCAATTCTGTGCTCTCGAGTTTGGCCATGCCAACCTCATCCCAACACAAAGGTGTACGACATCTCCTCCCATACAATGCCTCGTATGGAGGCATGTCAATACTCGCCTGATAACTGTTGTTATAGGCAAACTCCACGAGTGCTAAATGGTTGTCCCAACTCCCTTGGAACTCCAATGCACAAGCTCTCAACATATCCTCCAAAATCTGTATAACTCTCTCGGATTGTCCATCCGTCTGTGGATGAAAAGCAGTGCTGAATTTCAATTTCGTTCCCATAGACTCTTGGAACTTCGGCCAAAATCGTGATGTGAATCGTGGATCCCTGTCGGACACAATGGTTATGGGAACCCCATGTAGCCTCACGATCTCATCCACATACAATTTGGCTAACCTCTCAAGTGCATAGGTAGTGTTGATAGGTAGAAAATGTGCACTCTTCGTGAGCCTATCAACCACAACCCATACAGCATCATAATTCCTCACGGTCCGTGGCAGTCCTACCACAAAGTCCATGGTCACGTGCTCCCATTTCCATTCTGGAATGGAAAGTGGCTGCAATAACCCAGCTGGATGCTGATGTTCTGCCTTAACTTGCTGGCAAGTAAGGCATTTACTGATGTACTCGGCTATTTCTCTCTTCATACCAGACCACCAGTAACTTTCTTTCAGGTCACGGTACATTTTCGTACCTCCCGGGTGCATAGCATACGCCGATGAATAAGCCTCCTCTAAGATGGACTTTCGGAGCCCCTCATCCGATGGTACACACACTCGGTCACGAAATAATAAGAGACCATCATCTCTTTCCCTGAAGTCCTCCACTGGTCCCGCTTGCATGCGTTCCCGGATCCTCATGATTTCCTCGTCAGTTTCCTGACCCTTCTTGATCTCATCAAGCAAAGTAGGTCTCACCTCAAATCGTGCCAATAAGGCTCCATTACTGGATACCTCCAGTTGGGCTCTTAAAGCCCTCAAGTTAGCTATCAATGCCCCAGATGAGCTCTTCCGGCTCAAGGCATCTGCCACCACATTGGCCTTGCCTGGATGGTACTCGATTACCAGGTGGTAGTCTTTTATCAACTCCATCCACCGTCTCTGCCTCATGTTTAACTCTTTCTGAGTAAACACGTACTTCAAGCTCTTGTGGTCAGTGTATATGTGACATGTCTCCCCGTAGAGATAATGTCTCCAAATTTTCAGTGCAAATACCACTGCCCCGAGCTCCAAATCATGAGTAGGATAATTTACCTCATGTTTCTTCAATTGTCGTGAAGCATAGGCAATTACCCTCCCCATTTGCATCAACACACATCCAAACCCTTGGATGCTGGCATCACTATAGACATCGTACCCCATACCCTGCTTGGGTAATGCGAGTACCGGTGCCTCGGTCAATCTCCTCTTTAGTTCAATGAAACCTTTCTCACATTTGTCATCCCATACAAACTTAGCTCCTTTACGAGTGAGCTTCGTCAATGGTGATGCCAAAACGGAGAACTTCTCCACGAACTTTCTGTAGTAGCCTGCTAACCCAAGAAAACTACGAATTTCCTTGACGTTCTTTGGCCTCTCCCATTCGGTAATTGCTTCTATCTTCTTGTTATCAACAGCAATTCCCGATCCAGAAACCACGTGCCCGAGGAAGCCAATCTCCTTTAGCCAAAATTCACATTTAGAAAATTTGGCATAGAGTTGCTTCTCCCGTAGTGTCTCAAGAACGAGTATCAAGTGCTCCTCATGTTCTTCCTCACTCTTTGAGTAGATCAAGATGTCATCTATGAACACGATCACGAATCGGTCCAAGTATTTGTGAAATACTCGGTTCATCAAGTCCATGAATGCCGCCGGGGCGTTTGTTAACCCAAACGACATAACAAGGAACTCAAAATGCCCATACCTTGTGCGGAAAGCACTCTTCGGTATGTCCTCCTCCTTAATCTTCAATTGATGGTACCCCCGACCTCAAGTCAATCTTTGAAAACACGGTTGCTCCTCGTAGTTGATCAAACAAGTCATCAATCCTAGGCAAAGGATACCTATTCTTGATTGTGACCTTATTCAGTTGACGATAGTCAATGCACATTCGAAGTGTTCCATCCTTCTTCTTCACAAAAAGGACCGGTGCTCCCCACGGGGAGTGACTTGGTCTAATGAAACCGTTGTCCAAAAGCTCTTGCAATTGGGTTTTCAACTCGTTAAGTTCAGCGGGTGCCATACGGTATGGCGGTATAGAGATTGGTTTGGTGCCGGGCTCGACCTCGATCACGAATTCAATCTCCCTATCGGGTGGAAGTCCCGGTAAGTCCTTTGGAAAGACATCCGGATACTTGCATACCACCCTCACACCCTCAATGCTCGTCTCTTCTT